ACCAGTTTTTGCTTTGATTTTCCCTATTGCTTTTCTATTTTTAATTTCATTAATTTTTGCTCTGCTTTTTTTTTTTTTTTGAGACAGAGTCTCACTGTGACACCCAGGCTGGAGTCCTTTTTTAGTTTCTTGCAGTACAGCAGATGCTGAAATCACTGATTTGAAACCTTGCTTTCTTTTCCTATTATTAGGAATTTCCTAATAATTTCCCTCTCAACACTGCTTTAGCAGTATCCCACTGGTTGTAATATATTTTCATTTAAATTCACTTCAATATATCTTTTGTTTCTCTTATAGTTTCCTCTTTGACACAGATCATTTACTAGTGGGTTAATTTTTAAGGTTTTCCTGTTTTTTGTTTTTCCTGTCACTGATTTCTAGTTTGTTTCCATTATGGTTACAATATCCTTTGTATGACTTCAATTATTATAGACTTGTTAAGATTTGTTCTATGACCTAAGATATTGTCTATCTTGCTGAATGAACAAGTTTGCTTGAAAAGAATCTGTAACCTGATTTTATTAAGTATTCTGTAAATTTCAATTACAGCCTATGGTTGATAGCACTGTTCAGTTCTTCCTTATTCCTGATGACTATTGCCTAGTGGTTACACTGATTACTAAGAGAATAACTTAATAATCCCCAGCTATAATAGTGATTTTTTTTTCTCTTTTCTCCATTCAGTTCTTTCAGGTTTTGCTTTATTTATTTTGCAACTCTGTTAAATTAAGATTATTTTGTCTTCTTGGTGAATTGATCCTTCTATCATTTTCTAATGTCCCGTTGTCCCTGGTAGTTTTCTTTGCTCTGATATTGAATTTTTCTTATATTAGTATAATTAACAGTATTTACTTTTATTTAAGGAAAAAATTATTCATGATATAATGACAAGTTATTAATATAATTACCCTGTTTTTCTTTCATGAATGTATGCCTAGTACATATTTTTCTATCTTTAACCTTTAGCCTCCCTGTAGCATCATATAGACAAATGAGTTTGAAGTGAGTTTCATATAGACAACATATAGTTTGGTTTTATTGTTCAATTCTCCTAAACTCTATCTTGTAATTATTCATATGTTAGGATCTAAGCCTGCCATTTTAGTATTTACTTTGTGTTTACTCCCTCTATTTTACTTGCCTCTACTTCCCCTTTCTTATTTTTCTACAGGTTACTTGAACATTTTTAGCATTCCATTTTAACTTATAGTACTTTTTATTATATCACCTTATGTAATATTTTAATGATTGCTCTAGAGATTGCAATATACATATGTAATTGCACAGCCTACCAATATGAATGTTTTGATACTTAAAGTGGAATGTAGTTACTCTATCATAATTTATGTCCTTTTCTCTCTCCACTTTATAAAACGGTTTCTTTTCCTTTTTTTTTATTTGAGATGGAGTTTCACTTTTGTCACCCAGGCTGGAGTGCAATGGTGCGATCTCAGCTCACTGCAACCTCCGCCTTCCAAGTTCAACTGATTCTCCTGTCTCAGCCTCCTGAGTAGCTGGGAATACAAGCATGCGCCACCACACCTGGCTAATTTTTCTATATTTAGTAGGGACGGGGTTTCACCACATTGGTCAGGCTAGTCTTGAACTCCTCACGTCAGGTGATCCGCCCACCTCAGCCTCCCAAAGTTCTGGGATTACAGGCATGAGCCACTGCACCCAGCCAACAGTTTTCTCAAATATTAACTGAATATACACTGAGAACTATATCAATATTATAATTTTTGCTTTGTATTATTAAACACAATTTTAAAAACTGAAGAGAGAATTAATCTACCCTTTCCATTGCTTTATTCATTCCTAATGCTCCAAGCATCCAGTTATCACTTCCTTTCTTTCTGAACAGCCTCCTTTATAGTCAGATATTCTTTTAGAACCAATCTGCTGTCAACAATTTTTCTTAGCTTTCCTCTTTCTGATATGGACTGATTACCCCTTCATTCTTGAAGCATATTTTTGTTGGATACACAATTCAGGGTAATCTGTTGTTGTTTTTTTCTTTTAGCAGTTGAAAAATGCTGGGATGCTTCCTATCCTCCATACTTTCTGATGAGAAACTTGTTATTCAAATTACTGACATAGGTAATGTGTTTATGTCCTCTATATACTTTGAAGATTTCTTCTTTGGCTTTAATTTTCACAATTTGGACTATGATGTATCCAAGTATGGATTTCTTTGGGGTTTTCCCATTTGGAGTTCACTAAGCTTCCTGAATCTGTAGGCTTATGTCTTTTGCCAAATTGGAAAATTTCAGCCATTATTTCTTTAAAAAAAAAAAAAAAATATACACACACACACACACACACACACACACAAACACACATATACATATATATACATTCATATATATATATATACATATATATATATATATATATAGGCTCCACATCCTGTCCTCTGTATCTAGTATTCTGAGACTATAGTGTCACATGTTATGTTATAGTTCCACAGATCTCTGGAAGCAGGGCTGATTTTTTCTATTTTTGTCCCCGTTATTTATATTGGAGAATTTCTAGTGAACTATCTTCAAATTGACTAATTTCTCTATCATTTCTATGGGCTGCTATTGAGCCCACAGAATAATTTTTTTTTTAATTTTGGCTATTGTATATTTCAGTTCTATCATTTTCATTTGGTTATTTATGGTTTCTACTTTGTTCCTAAGGTCTTCTATTTTTTTGTTTGTTTCAAGAGTGTTTGTAATTGCTTGTTGAAGCATTTTTACAAAAGCTGTTTAAAAGCCCTTGTCGATCATTCCACATCTGTGTCATCTCAATATCGGCATCCACTGAGTTTAGATTTTCCTGATTTTTCATATGACAAGTAATTTTGGGCCATATCCTGAACATTATTATACTATGACACTCTGGTTCCTATTTGAATAATCTATTTTAGCAAACAGTCAACCTGCTTAAAACTGCAACCCTCTCACCTTTATGAGCTGTGGTTGAATGTCAATTTAGTTATAAAAAAATCTCTGCAGTGCTTTTCTGATTTCCTTCATTTGTATTACCTAGATGACATAACTTCACCCTACTATCTCCTCAGCTTGGGTTTGGGTGGGGACAAACACTACCTCATTTTAGCAGGGCAAGGATGGAAGACAGGCTACTATCCCACATGGTCTACCTCTTCAGTACGGTGGGGAAGGGAGGGTGGAAGTCAGAGTCTTGCCCAGAGGCTTAGCTGAGAACAGCACAACAAAGAAGAGTAGAAGTCAAGAGTTCCAACCACAGGTTTTTCCATGGAAAGTTACCTCCTCCTTACTTCATATTCCACTGAGGTGGGGCACCACTTCATTACTATAGGGTAGGGGGTGAAAGTTTAATTGTCTGGGTTCCTTCCTGCCACCCCCAACATTTTTCCAGTTCATTCTACAGGCTCCACTGGAGAGGGGTATCCCCTTGTTACTGTAGGAGGGGGAGGAAGTATGTTTAAAATAGCACTGGTGTGGATTCCACTGTTGAAATGCCTGTTTGGATAGGAGAGAAATACAGCTTTTATTGTGCTGTTCTCTTAGAGAACAGTAGAGTATGACTAAAAAAGTTTCTGTCTTTTAGGGCTATCTTTCAGCTAGAGAGAACAGGCTTTCCTTGGCACTAATTTTCCTTTGTTTGTTTGTTTCTACCCACTGGCATTTCCAAGTTGTGTGCTTCTCTAGGGACCAGGTCAACATATATGAAAATAAAGAAAGGGAAAAAAGAGAGAATTCATTTGATCCTTGAGCCTCAAAATCCCTTGGCAATTTACTCTCTTTTTTCTAACTTCCAGAGTTTTTCAGTAGGTGAATTATGTGTTTTACACAGGGCTTTTTGGTGTGATTAGTAGTAGTAGTAAAATAAAATGTGTTTATTCCATCTTGTCCAGAGCCCAAACCCTGTCACTTATTTTTAGTATACATATTATAATTATTTCTATACCCTATCACTCTCCACTTTCTAAGTTTCCTAAGAACTTTATTAGTTTTTTATTAGGTTTCTACTACTTTTTTGGGGGGTTGGAGTCTCACTCTGTCACCCAGGCTGGAGTGCAGTGGCACAATCTGGGCTCACTGCACCTCTGCCTCCTGAGTTCAAGCAATTCTCCTGTCTCAGCCTCCTGAGTAGCTGGGACTACAGGTGCACGCCACTACGCCTGGCAATTTTTTTTTTTTTTTTTTTTTTGTATTTTAGTGGAGACAGGATTTCACCATGTTGCCCAGGCTGATCATGAACTCCTGAGCTCAGGCAATCTGCCCGCCTCAGCCTCCCAAAGTGCCAGGATTACAGGTGTAAGCCACCATGCCAGGCCACTTTTTTTTTCTTTTTAAGAGACAGGGTCTCACTCCTTAGTCTCCCTAGTAACTAGGACTACAGGTACACACCACCATACCCAACTAAATTTTTAATTTTGTGTAGAGATAGAGGTCTTGCAATAGTCCCCAAGAAGGTTTTAAACTACTGGCCTTAAGCAATCCTCCTGCCTCAGCTTCCCAAACCATAGGATTACAGGTGTGAGCGACCATGCCTGGATTTTATTACATTTTCTGTTAATTTGTTGGCTCAGCAAAGTGTCAGATATGACATATTCTTGAAGCTTAGCAGCTGTTAAAAACTGTTAACACAATTTATTGGCCTTTATACCCACCATTAGGTTCACAAAAGATAAAAATAAGCAACTCTCAAGTTGGTTCATTTGTTCTGTAAATATCTGTTTTATGAAAGCATCTGGGGACACAACAATGAGTAAGAGAGCTAAGATCCCTGGTATTATGTAACATATTTTAGTGACTGGGGCAGAGAAACTACACGCATATGAACAATAATGTGTTCTCTTCAGGTTGAAAAAACCCAGTCTACTATGCTTCAGTAAAGATTAAGAACATACATTTCATAAACTGTAAATATTCGGAAATCTAAAACTGCATACTTAGCATAGGTTAATTTTTTTACTTGGTACACTAAACTTTAATGATCCTATAAACTAGTAATCAACTACTTACCACATATAACTGTTTCCACAAACTTGCCCATTCTTGTAGAGTTGCTGTAACCTCAGTCACAATGGAATCTTCAAGTGGAACCACAGTTTCATACTGCCTAGAACCAGAGCCACAAAAGACAGGCACATTATCTCTGAAAAAAAAAAAATCTCAGCAAACAGTCTCCTTTTTCTACTTGCTTAACTCAAATTTTAATTTCATGCAAACAAAAAAGAAGTACATCTAACTGATCAAAGACCTTTTTATAATGATATACTGCAACAGTGAGAGTGAACTGAATTAAGATAAAGAGATTTGGGTTTTACTATATAAGTCCTCAATTTTACTTCTATAAATACTATCCTAAAAACACACCTTTTAAGGAACAGTCTCTAAGCTTTTTTCCTTCAAGGAAAAACCATGATACTACCCAAGTCTTACTCAGATTATTTTTTAAATTATTTATGTCCTTTAACATTTTTCTGTATGCAAGTTTGCTCATACTCTTAGTTAAAAAAAAAAATCCGGAAAAATGTTGGGGGTGGTGGCAGGGAGGAACCCAGACAATTAAACTTTGAAAAGTTTGATGCATACTCCCTTATGTTGGTATTGTATTTTCTTGCAACATAATGTCAGTAGAGGAATTCTAAGTCTGGTAGAGGAATTCTGAACCTGGTAACAGAAAGGTGCTTGGATTCTCTCTGAATACTTCATAAGCAGCATCCACTATAATACCAATCCCTGTGCTGTCAAAAATTTATCAGTGAACAAAAATGGACAGGATCTATCTTCAAAAAGCTCTTGGTCTGGACAGGGAATCAAACAGACATGGACAGTGATAAATCCAAAATGGAAACGAAAAGGTACTGATATGATTTGGCTGTATCCCCACCCAAATCTCATCTTGATTTGTGGCTCTCATAATTCCCACGTGTTGTGGGAGAGATCCAGTGGAAGGTAATTGAATCATGGGGGCGGGTCTTTCCCAAGCTGTTCTCATTTTAGTGAGTAAGTCTCACAAGATCTGATGGTTTTATGAAGAGGAGTTCCCCTGCACATGCTCTCTCGTCTGCTGCCATGTAAGATGTGATTTTGCTCCTCCTTTGCCTTCTGCCATGATTGTGAGGTCTCCCTAGCCACATGGAACTGTGAGTCCATTAAACGTCTTCTTTGTAAATTAACCAGTCTCAGACATGACTTTATTAAGCAGCATGAAAACAGACTAATACAAATGCAATTAGAGATTTTAGCTGGATACAATTTATAATGAGATCAATGAACCCTTCTCTGAAGAAATGTCAAGGTCCAATACATGCAAAAAAATCATGACATGAAAAGTATGTGTGGGGAGGGAGAAGACCAGTTATGATGCCACCTACAAATGGGCAAAATATGCAAGATGTCACTGAGTTGGGAAATAATTTCACAAATCCAAGATGAACAAAAGCTGATATGACTGGGACCTTTTCAAAAGACAGTAAAAATTCCAGATCTTATCACAAGTGACCTGAATGAAAAGTTATTGAAAGCAGGGATAATAACTTGATAATATTCCTATAATGTCTATACCAATGTTGAGGGTTAATAAAATACTTTCTATGACCAAAGATTTAATATACTGATGCATTGAGGTAATTTGTACCCACTTATTAGCCAAGGAGAGTATCATCCATCTGAAAAAAAAGTCCAGGAAAATGTATTCCACAAAATTAGCATCAAGTATTATTTCTTTCCACAAGAAGATAAGCTGACAAAATACCACTGTGTTCAAAGATGACTCAGTGCATTAATATTGAGCATCAATGAATATATAAGTTATCTGATTATGCCTTATGGTTTTACTGTGTTCTAATTTTTTGTGACTTACTCCAGTAGATTACAAAAAGTCACCCTGAAATAATGCCATGGCATTATCTATATACATCAAATTTATAAGCTCATTAAAATAAAAGCTTTCATCAAGGGCTTGTTAAGAGTACAATGTGACAGAGGTAACACCAGCAAGATGGCAGAAGAGGTGCCTTCTATCATCATATGCCTCCAAGAAGCATTAATTTTGACAACTTATGGACAAGAGTACCTTTGTGGGAGTCTAGGAATCCAGCAGAAAAGTTTCAGCACACCACTGAGGCAAAAAATCCAGAACAGATGCAATAAATAGGGTAAGAAGTAAATTTCATTTTACCTGCATCACTCCTCCTACAAGGCAGCACAGCTCAACAAGAGAAACACCCTAACGCTGCAATTTCTCCCACAGTGGAAAGTGAAAGCACAATAATTAGGCACCCGGCTCCACCAACCATGTAGGACACTGCTCAAGAGACTCACTTTTCCCACCCCACCCCAAATATTGTGGTGATAAGCATGGCTGAGTATTTGGGAAGGTTGGGAGTAGGAAAGTAAGTATGGTTTAATTTACTTTAATTTTTTGAAATAGGTCATACTGATCTCAGATGAAAAAGAATATGCTAATGATACATGTGATAAATGTCATATCTGAGAAGAAAGTCATAATGACTTACTAAACAAATTTGAAGTGAATGAGAAGATATCCTTTATTTCTTTAAGCTACTGGTTGTTAAGTTTCAATTTCTGAAGTTATTTCTATATACTACATCTTAAGAGTGCTGTAGAGATAATTAGGAGATGTATAGAAACAATCAGGGAAATCACAATCTTAATAACAAAACTTAAACATAAAGCACAAACAGGTGCTAAATATGTGACATCAACTATAACATCTAATGTTCTCAAGAAGGAGGTTCACTGTAAACTGTTGCAGTCAGATAAAGATTCATAAAGACAGTTAAGCTCCTAAAAGAGGTTGTGTCTGAAAGGCAAGGAGTTGGAGAGAGAGCCCTAAACACTATACTTTGTTATAAAAAGTGGTATAGAGAAAATAATGAGCAAGGCATAATAAAGAGAATTCATGCTAGTAATGGCAGCAGCAGGCCGTCTGCAGTGGGGAGGCGTGGATGGTGGTGGCAGGAGCGGCTACAGGATCAGCAATAGCTGTGGTGAGTATCCTGTGCCCTACCTGGAGGAGGCAGCTGACTACACTGCCCTCACCCTTACACAGCCGCCTGCCCAGGACCCATCCCCAGGCCTGTAGCCTCTGCAGCTCCAGACCCTGTCCCCACATCACTGCTCTCTCCTGCCGCTGCTGCAGGGAGGGCGAAGGGAGGAGGCAGTGCTGGGGCCATCCTTTGGGGACTGGGGACAGGAAATGAGAGTGGTGCTCACTTCAGGGACCAGCCGGCAATGCAGTCGCCATGCCCACCCTGCAGAAAGCACTGGGTTCCCTCGGAAGGAGGCTCACTGCACAGGCCCACCCAGGGTCACAACCCCAGGGTCTGCCCCATATGGGTCCCGCAGTATTACTCCCAATGGCTGGCCCGAGGCCTGCGATCCACTCCCAGAGGTGCCCACCCTGGGCAGACCCCCAATACAGGTGAGGGGGAGTTCTGGGCCACCCCTGATGAGTGCTAGAGCCACCGAGGGACCCTGCCCTGGACAATGGCCTGGGCTTAGCAAGGACCTCCGCCCCAGGCAGTGAGGGAACGCAGCTGGGGCTGCATGTTCCACCAGCCGGGAGCAGGCAACAGCCCCACAGTCCTGGGAACGGCTGCAGTCACCCAAGTCAGGGCTGTGGACCTGGGCCTCCCTGTGCTCTTGGTGGCCGGGAGTAGGCAGGAGCCCTGCACCAGGGAGGCTGCAGCTGCCCAAGTCAGGGCTGTGGATCTGGACCTCTCTGCACTCAGTGCAAGGATGTGAGATTTTAAACTTGACACTGGAAATAGGGAAACATGAGTGATGTTAAAGGAGTGTTGTGTTTTAGTAAGATTAATGCAGAAATAATACACAAGACAAAGTAAAATATAATTTCCTTGGAGTTTCATCTATTAGGTCTTCAGCTACTTTAATCATTACGACCTAGGAAAAACTTAGATTGTTCCTATTTTAAAGTTCTAAGATGGAGGACTTACGATAATTTGGCCTCAACTGCTAGTTTCCCCACTTCCTAGCTATGCCACTTTGATAAAGGTATTTGAACTCTCAAAGCCTTGCCTTTCTCATTGGAAATAAGTGGATAATTCCACTATAAACCTGGAATACCAAAGTGTGTTAAGTGTGAAGTGTCAAAATGGTTAGTATAGAGGATATTTAATAAATGGTACCTATTGTTGATTCCTAATCTTTTTTTTTTCATTGCTTACAATTAAGCAAAGAGTTTCTAGACTAAAATGTCAAAATCAGCTAGATTTTATATAGTACTTTAAATATTTTTCAGACATCTTATCAAAATAGCTCAGTAAGTTCTTATTTTGACATATTTCCTCAGCTCCCCAAACACAGCAATTATAGGTAAAATATAAATATTTTTGAGCTCCAAAATAAAATAAACATCTCAGCATAGCAGCAACAGAACAATAACAACAACAAAAAACAACAACAGTGAACCAGGGTGAAATCACAGGTCTTCTAGACTCTGGAGTCAAAAGCCAGCACTGGTGACTAGGAACTTAAATTTAGAGGGATGACAAGGACAAAAAAGTACTCAAAATGAGATGGGAACCAAGGTCAGATTCACTGGTTGAAGTTTCTCAAAAGAAGGCCAACATAGGGCGCAACAACTGCTATTAAACCTCACTTGGGACTATGGTTTTTAGCAAGCTGCAGGACTAAGGAGACTGGACCTCAAGCAGCCCCCTCCCCACTTCAGCCAAGGGTCAGATTCTACCACAGCCCCAATGTCACTGATGGAAAGAAGCTCTAAAATACTGTTGAAGGACCTGCGTCTATACTGGAGGTTAGGGGACAGATAGCAGTAACTGCTCAAGCACGAGACAGATATGCTCAGAGGGAGAAATGGAGAGGGGAAACAAAATCTTCCACTTCTAAAACCAAAATTCTACAGCGTATGAAGACTCTAATGTTCAAAGGCTTAAAAATAACACAAATGGTGTTGGACTTACAATGGGGTTACATCCTTAGAAACCCTTTGTAAGCTGAAAATATCATGAAGTCAAAGATGCATTTAATTCACCTAACCTTTCGAACATCCATTAGCTTAGCCTATCCTCCCTTCAATGTGCTCCACAGTGGGTAACAAACAAT